CCTGTGGCAGTAGATTACCAAATGAGAGTGGCCTCTCAGCAGTTTGGACATAACTTTTATCAAACACAATCAACTATTAAAACTTGGTGTCTCAGGAAGCTGCTAGGATGCCCAATGCCATCTGTTTAAAAATTACTTTACATTTTATTGAAAGACTGTTTACTTTCTTTGGAATGCCATTGTATAAAATCAGCCAGAGAATGGCATTATCGGAACATATTTTGTTGAAAAAGTTCCCATTTCAGTTCTTATTTAAAAACTTCTTATTTAAAGAATTCCTCAGGTTTGCAGAAGAAATAGAAGGGGATAAGAAAGGAATTAAAATTATCAAACCTGATGTATACCAGATCAAAGCAAATTGAATGTGCACAACAGAATGTGTCATCACTAATTGTTTGAAAGTAGATATTGTTCTACCTTTACAAAACCAAAATATTTTTAGAATTTAAGCAGTTGTAATTAAACTCAGAAAAGCACTTTATGAATGAATTCACGGTTTTGTACGTTATTTCAGGGACCTATCCATGTAAGGTAACTACCTTCTTGTAGGGCCAATTCAAAGACAGAGGATTCATCCATCTACACATCTGTTAATCCAAATGCAAAAATATGTTTACATGTGTCAATGCATTTTATTCCCTCTTGTGTCTTCTTGACAAGGAAGGGCTTAATGATGTGATAGCAGCAAACGAAAAGCCCATGGCTGATGAAGAGAAGAGTTTGTGGTTTGACATGTGCAAGTTGCAGTTCATGAGCTGAGAAAAACATATCTTATATTTTATGCTAAAGAATCATACGACGTTTTATTAAGAAAATCTCTGATGTTTTTCTTCTGACTTGCACTTGTCCTGAGAGGACAAAATAGGTGTACCATAATAATGCTGTGGGCTACCTTTGTGTTAAAAGATAATGGCAGTGTGTGCTAAGTTCTGCCACTATTTTGCAATTGATTACCATCAGGTTTTGACAAATCTTGTCAAGCTATTTGACATCTGAATTTGACAGTCCACAAAATCATGACATTTTTAATGTGATTTGAGTTTTTCTGGTGTGAAATGTCAACCAACAAATTTAGAAGTGGAGGTTAAACCCAGCTATGCTGACCTTATTCTGGTAGTTGTATAAATACCCTGGGAGGAAAAAAAAAACAACAACAAAAACTAACAGGGACTTTCCATACAAGGGGCCTGCAGTTTCTATAGTTCCCAGGAGATGGCACACATCTTTTGGAAAAAATGTCTCTTGCTGCTCGCTTCCTAAAGGAGCAGCAAGGTGTCAGAGGAAAAGACTTCAACACACCACCATTCAGTCCTACGATTTCCACTTGAAAATTGAAAGTCAGTTGGCAAACCCCTTGGGATTTAGAAGAGATGGAATGGGGATTGCCATCTGCAGAAGAGAATTTGCATGAATAGCTCAGCAGGAGGAGGGTGAAGAATCCCCACCCAGCAACTGCATTTTCTTTGTGGCATAATATATGTAAGACTATAATACAATGCCCTCCTACTTTCATCTTTCTATATTGCCACTCATCAGCATTACAAAGAATGTCGCTATTAAAAGAACTGCCTCTTGGCACCCAAAAGCCATAGCACTGTATTTTCTACAACAAAAAAAGCAAGCTTCTATTATTTGTTTTGCTACGTTTGCAGCAGACTCCCCATTAAGCTTGCTTCTCACAGCTCCCTGATCTCATTCCCTGTTGGATCTAGATCAGACACACCAGAGGTCAGGCTGACTTTCAAACCTTCTTGTGGGCTGGCAGGCATAGAGAAATGTAACAGTAATAAGGATTAAAAAGTTCTCAGATGGGCCTACCAGTGTGGAAAGCCCCTCCCTTCCCCAGCCTTGCCACCCTCTAAAGCACTTGGCACAAACACCAGAGCCAAAGTTGTCGAGGGAGCGCGTATTAATTCCTAGTTACTCGAGGCAATGGCCAACTACACTGGAGCTCCTATAAATACACCCTGAGGGACGTTTGTACAGTTTTCCATGGTCTTGCAGCTCCTATTAATGGAAGAGAGTGGCCACCACTTTCTTTTGGTGACTGCAAACTTTGTGGTAGTGTGATCTGAGGCCACGAAGAGCCATCTGTTGTAGGTCTTGCTAATGGAGCACCCGTGTGGAGGTGTTTTTAGTAAAGGTGAACTGCTCATGAGCCACAACACTTCTTACTGCGTCCTCGGAGATATCTTAAGAAAGCTGCCTTGAAAGAATCCTCGCTGAAAATGAAGCAGTGTGCACCGGTAGCAATGGCTGTAGGAACCCAAATCCCATCTATCCACGATCATTTCCTACCAAGACTTAAGAAGTTGCAGTGGAGAAAGCAGAGCATCACTGTGTTAGTCACTGAAGAAACGCAGCCAGAACTAAAAAGCAAGAATGCTGAAAAACTGTTGTGCCTCAGAGCAGCAACAACCAGCATCTTCACTGGACCTCTCAATTTCTCCCAAGGCCCCAGAGCCATTCCTATGGTCCCTGAAGAGCTTAGCTCTAGATCTTCACTGTTTGTTTCTGCTTCCATTCATGGAGATGGACTTATAGGTAGAGCCTCCTTGGCTAAGGAGAAGGTTTTCTCTGGATTGCCACCAGGATTTCCCACCTCTTTGGTACAACAGAGGTGGGGCAGGTTTCAGACTGCAGGGCACAGAGGACTGAGAGGAGCCTCTGCCACTAAACTTCCACTAAAGCAAGCAAAACAGCTGGTAGCAGGTAGGGAGTGTAAGTTCAAAGTTCCTGGGGGATGTTTGAAATGCACTTATCTTAATTTTAGCTGATAGATTTAAAAGAGCTCCCTGGATTTGCCATAGTTGGCTATTTGCTTATTCTACCAGATAAATATAAGTCACCGCTCTTCAAGAAATGAAAGGTTAAATTTGGATGCCATCCACAGGAAATGAGAGTGTAAAGGTGAGTGTGTATTTTGAAATATGGATATTACAATTCCCATTCCAGCTTGCAAAACAAACTTCAGGCCTGTCCCATGTTACTTTAATGATTTATAAGCCCATCTTTAAAAATCACTTATTCTGTTCCTCTTTATGAACCTAGTACAGACGAAGCTCGGCTGCCCGCTTGTTTCTCATGCTGCAAAGATGATTGCTTTTACCATGGCCAGACTGTGGCTGCCCAGGAGCAGGTGTGCGAGGAGGGGGAGGTGGGGAAGCGTGGAGCCCTGGTTTCCTTGGGCAGCTCTTCAACAAGCAGCAGTAGCAGTAATGCTTACTCGATAGGACATTGGTGGCACCTACACAGGTCAAACGGGGTGAGTGCCTGTCCCACCAGTGCTGCCCAGTGGGTTGGGCTTTTGCTGCACCTTGAGGTTGCGTTAGTGAGTAGCAGCTGCTCAAAGCACCAGGATGCACTCAGAAAATCAGAATGCTCCTGGGACTTTCTGGCCCTCTTCCTTTACTCACAGGAAGAGAAATCCTGCTTTTCGGTTCATATGAAAAAGGCTGAGTCTTTCAAAAATATTCATATAGCCTAGCCCATTGCTTAGGCCCCTGATACTTGGATTTCAAATATCCAGCACTGCACAAAGCATGCCTAGTCTCTGCTGCTCAGAAAATCCTATTTGTGAAGTATTGGAACCAGTAGGAAAATGCATCTTGGTTACTGAGAGCAGGAGCAGATTTCAATACAGACATGCAAATGCACAAGCATGAGTGGAAAAAAAAGTGAAAATGAGATCAAGGACGTACAGACATGGAATTATTGAAGTACCAATTAGTGATTTAAAATTTTCTCTGAAGAATACCAGGTGGAATGAACCAGAGAAAGGTGTTTCTCAGTTTTTTAGGACTAAAATAGATTTATGATTTATTTGACCTGTGCAAAGTCTATACCACACTTAGTAAATTATCAGGCTTCAAAAATAAACTTATCTGCCAGGATGCTGTCCTTTTGTTTTTCCTGTGAGATTCACTGTTTTTTAGAGCTGAAATATATGAAGGCGGATCTTTAGTTGGTTATGGTAAGTGGCTTATCTCTGACTTCACTGAAGCTATGATATATTTTTTCAGTTTTTGAATACCTGACCTCTGAAGGGCTAGAGAAACCTTCAGGAGACCAGCACCAAAACCTACTTCTAACTACAAGTATTGCAGCAGCTTTTTGAGGGACTAGGAAATATTCAAGGCCGTAAGTTTGCAAAAAGGGTCAGTACATTTGCAAAGACAGAATAGACTTCCCCACCAGTCACCCCAACCTGAAACCCTTCTCATTGAAATGCACATATAATTGCCAATGATATGATATGATTATCTTAATTCCCCCCCCCCCCCCTTTTTTTTTTTAAGGAAGAAGTTGCTTGGTTTTGATATAGAATGCTGGTCTTTCCCTTTAAATTCTGTGTGGAGTCACATTACGGAGAATTTAAAACTTTCAGTGTCTTTGGAAAGGGCCTCAGCGCTTCTCAGGATTGAATTGACAATGATTAACATCATCATCTCAATGACTGCCACTTTACTCATCTCATGGATACCCTAAAGGGTTTATTCCATCCTGTAACCACAGCTGAACACTAAAAATTCTGTCTGTAGAAGCAGCTATCTGAAGATTGTTTTCATTTCTCCTTTTCACGTGCGACTGTTCATTTCTTTCTTAGTGTCAAGTTAAAAATGTTTGTAAAAGCAGAAATGAAAGCAGTTACAAAAAGAAAAAGAAAAAAAAAGGAAAAAAAAAAAAAGTCGTTTCAATTTGGTTAAAATTGAGACTGTTAGAGTTAACTCTAGCTATGGTAAACAGCAACAGCCAATCTCAGGAGCAGAGAGGTGACTAAGAAGATGCAGTGCTCTGTGTCACCCGGACAGCAAAACTAGCTGCTCCTCTTAGGGAATGTCTGCCAAAGCGTCAGATGATCAGGGTAGAGGTGGCCTGACGGAAAGCCATTTCTATTCATCAGTTGTTAAGGACCAAACGGGGAAAAGTTACAATTCTGTTCTTGAACAGTCCCTGTGCCATAACATTTCCTTGAGAATTATTTTCTATTTCTTTCACAGTCTAAATGTTTTGATTTCTGAGGCGGTGTTTTCCCATGAGGGATATCTTCAAGAGATCCGGTGCCTGGACCGAGTGGGATAAGATGATAAAATGTAAGAAACTGGAACATGAGAAGTTTGAAACTCAGCTGTGAAAATGTTTATTGGATAAATGTTTACTCTGCTACATACTCATATTTATTTTTCTTTTGAACCTTTGAGTCTCCTTACTGCTTCAATGAGACAATTAATTCTCTTTGGAAAACATGACATGGTTAATTAAACAGGTGAGAGAAACTAGTTTCTCAACTGTCTGGAGATTCAAAGATCCAATTGCAATTTACAGAGAATATATTACAGTTGTCAACATCATGTGAATCCCAGCTTGTCTGAGAATGATAAACACAGGGATATTGTAGAAGAAGCCATTTAGAAACCTGAGATCTTACTCAGTGAGGCCAGCCTTCTGCTGTGCTGGGTGGCTGCAGCACACTCTTCACTTTCCTTGTACTGATAGTCCTTCATCCTAAAAACATGTAGTGTACTCTGAAACCATGCTACATTCATGGATAAGAACCAGGTTCTGGATGCTGTGATCAATTTGTAGGTGTTTCTTCTTGTACACAAATTGCTTCAGTGACACCAATAGGGGCTTGGAGGCATGCCTAAGGAGAGGCAGCAAACCCAAGCCATCATCAGCATGGCTTGGGAAAACAGAACTTTGCCAACGCTGGGATTTTATCATACAGAAGATCCACATAGAAAGAGTTGCAGAAATTGCAGAATTATGGCTGTATAAATGAATCCAACCTCTCTGACACACAGAATGCCCCTTCCTCTGCATTCACCTTGCACCAAGAGTTACATGCTCTCGACCAGCTGGCTTCTTGCTGATCCTGTAATCTGAACATAGGTTATTAATAGTTTTGAATAGCAGGGAGCAGTTAATTACAGAATATGCTATCTGTTGTTAGTGAAGTTAGTGAAGGTGGATTTATTTACGGCAGGAGAGACTTAAGCATGACGAAAAGGCACGGATCTGGGTAGAGAAGGAGCATGGGAATGCTCTGGCACTGACCTCTCTTTACTACATCAGGCAGTAAGATGTGCTCTCTTTTGCCTCTCATTAGTGTCTGCAGACTTTCTTTCATGGCTTCACACACATATCAGGCAACTGTGTAAATTCTTTAAATTTGGTCGTTATTCTAATGCATGTTTTAATTCACTGGTTTTAAAGTGTTATCTGTAGATGAACACTTCTGTTTGACCAACTGTTATGGTTTTTTAAGGTTGCTTAAGTCTCAGTTATCTGTGGAATGCTCCTATATTCCATTGGGCAGTCAGCATGTAACTCAGAATTATCTAATTTTAAGGGGGAAAATTTTTCTCGGATCACTTTTATGCATCTTTTACATAGCTGTTCTGTATTTTCAGACACTGATATTCACATCAACCCCACCACATCTGCAATTGTGGTTGAAAGGAAGAGGTTCTCTCTATAGCAACCAGTGCATGTTCTTTTTTTTCCTTTTTTTTTCTTTCTTTCTTGTTGTTTTAAAATACCAAGAGCCAGATTTGTCTCTCAGATCAACAGCAGTTTTGTTTTTCTGATTGATTTTTTTCTTGAGTGCAGATAAAGTCTTGCTATTTTTCCACTGTGTGTGTTTCAGGACCAATCTGATTTTAACAGCTTTCTAAACAAATATTTGCTGATTCACCTCTTGATTAGAAATTGTTACTGGATCTTCAGGAAGGGATATACTTCAAATGAATCTGGACAGAATTAATAATGATGAGATGTTTACTGCAGTAGAATCTTTCTACGGAGCCTTTAGAACTAATTCCAAATGCTTACATGACTCTTAATTGGATAATTCCTGCCTGTTAAATTTCTTCCAGCTTTATCCTGTAAGGCAATGTGCGTCAAGATTTCAGAGACACTTGCATATCTATATATTTTTATTTTTTCATCTATATGTGTAAACAGCTATTTGCCTATGCAAAAGGAATCCTCAGATGTGCAAATACCTGATCTTCTGCATAAACATTTTTGCACGGAGATCTGCTTACCAGAATGGCTACATGAAATACGGACATGTCTAAAATAAAATGAAATACAATTAAATACCGATCTGTATACATGAATGATTACATACACAAAAAGAGTGCCTTTAACTCTGAAATTGGGAGTTTTGTTTTGTATCATCTCTTATGTTGATTTTATTTCTTAGTATGTGTAAAATTATCTCACTAATGCAATAGTTTTAGCAGTGAACCTAACATTTACCAACAAAACCTCTAAACATGTGCTTAACTTTATAGGAGCTTGAAACCATGGCAAAGTTAAGCACAAGCTTCAGCGCTTTTCTGAATTGGACTCACGTTGAGATCCAACAGTCAATGTTTTTCCAGACTTCCTGATTCCTGCTTTGCAAGAGAACTGAAAGTCAATGGAAAGAGTTTACAGAAAGTGCAGCTTTAAGTGTTTTCAGGAATGTTTTGTAGCCACATTTCTTCTGTAGTCCAAGCTAATCTGAGTAAGGGCTGAGAAATTCAAACATGTGCTGTGCACTGTATCTTGTGTTTCTGTAGTTGAGCAAATGGTCATCCTGCTGATCTGCAGATTACTTTGCAATTCTGCAAAAACAAAGCCTGTGACATTTACATCTCCAGGAAAATTTATGCATTGGCCTTTGAATGCTATTCAACAGCACAAATACTTATGTTTAATTTAACTTACCAACTTATTAATCAGAAATCACATTATTTGAGAATAATCAACTGCATCTATCCTCATTTTGGACCGGGATAGATAGATATTGCAGAGCAATACTGCACCCAATTAGTTATTGTTTTGTTAAAAGCCTTGTCAGCAAACTCCTTGTTGGCGAGTAAGCCATGCTTCTCTGGCGTTGACGTGTCAGAAGGGGACTGCACTCCTTGACTCCTTGATAGTCATTCCTGCAGGTTATTACTGCACAAAGCAACTGCTGGCTTCTAGAAGTCTTTTGGGAAATGTAGAATGTCTGTTGCACGGGGGGGAGCCCCTGTTTGTGCTTCTCATTTCCCATCCCTTCTGCTATCAGTATGAGATAATGCTTGGAAATCTGAGGCTTTGGGCCTGGAAACTGGAACTTATCGGGTGATGGCCCTACTGGACCAGGCAGGGCTGAGGATTCTTTTGTAAACTTGGAAGGAACCAAGAAACACCCAATGGGCTTGAAATTATGTAATGGTGACTTCATCAGTACTTGAAATTAATTCAGTGTTCCATGTGAAAACCAAAATGCTTCTGGTCAGAAATCTTTTAACTTTCTATTTACACGACAATTTTGTTTCTATTTTTATACCACATTTTTTTCCACTTTTGCTTCCCCCCAACTTTTTGCTGATTCATAACAATTGCTTCTTCATACTATAAAGATTTCATTATTTGTACTGTGGCTACACTTTTCATCTGCATATTACTAATATGTACAGTGGGATAAGGTTTAAAAGTATAACCTTTTATAAGACCTTAATTTTGGTCATTTTTTGCACATATTTCTACTTCATTTATGTTTCATTCTGACTTAGCAAAACATTTGTGCATTTGAGCCACATTAAAAACAAGTCCGTAACTTTCTGTCATGAATGTTTTAATTCCTCGCATACTTTCAAAAACTCTTAATGAAAATCAACCATGAAGATAAACCCCGCTTAATGTGGACAGGGTCTTGGGATCAAGCAAGAAAGGGGATAAGAGATTGTATGACTGTGAACAGATGAAATCATGTGATGGGCTTTATTGCTGGTGAAATCTGTTTCCACTTGCTGCCACCCACTAATTTGACAATAGATTGCATCATGTGGTTGCAGCAACTGAGAAGGCTAGCAACCATTTTAAACTGCTTTCCTTAAAGGGGAAAACACTGTCGAGAACAGTGGAACAGAAAGACTTTCAGTGTTATGAACATATTTTAAATCTTAGATAGTTACGGTAATTCCTACTGCGTTGTATTAAATTCAACGTAAGCCAACTATGCAGCGAGAACCTAAGCATTAGCCAAAAATTGTTTATCAAGGGATTATTCTTAGTGGACAAAAACAGCTAGGAGGTTTGTTAGAGTAATTCAGCTCATACTAGGATTGCAATTACTACCTAAGCGTTGTATGGGAAATGCACAACATTTTCAAAGCAGAAATATAAATAATAATGAACTCTTAGCTTAAAGATGCAATTCTCTCCATGTTCTTTTCTCGTAAAGATAAATCTACATTTCAAAGGAATACTTTCTTACATATGGAAATGCTTATTTTCTAGCTACTGAAGATCTGCCAGGAAATATTAGAGAATATCATGTTAGGAGTTTTAGAAGGCAAATTGCTTCTGCATACTCTGTACCTAGCAGACAGCTTTATGGTGCTCTTTACCTGTCTGTCATAACATCAGTTTTTCCAAAGCACCTGAAGCCCTTGCAAGTTAAGAATTATAGCAGCATACCTTTGCATGATGTATGTATTTAGCAGTGCTAAGCTGATTAGTGAGTAAATACAAAATACAAATACAAATTTATGTGCTTTAAGCCCAATTATTAAATGTTCCTTGACAGAGGAAAAAACCAACTATGACATGAAATAGTTATGTCAGCAAAGATGGATTTTAAAGAGCACTTATCAAAGCTCATATAACACAGCTATGCACCTTTAAAAATGAGTTTCAGCCACACTTTATTGTCTTAATTTATATCACAGGAAAGCAGGGTGAGTCACCTTAGTTTTGGAAGATTTGGCTTTTTAGATATAAACACTGACTTTAAAGCATCTCAGCAGAATTTTCAAATTGTCATAGTGAGCAGAAACATACATGTTGTTAGCCAGATGGGAAATTTTGTATGCATTTCTTAAAACAGTTAATTTTCCTTTTCAGGGCAGGGAAGCCAAAAGCTAACGCTGAGGTGTGGGGTAGAATTTCATGTTTGTTTGTTTGCTTGCTTTTATGTCAAATTCTTTGCATCCCAAAAGCCTTTCTCCTCTATTTATTTGTTTTTCTTTTAGAGAGAAATTAGTGCATATGTGGCCGCTTGTTCTTATTCTCGCCTAAACTCTTCTGGTATTCTGACAGGAAAAAAAAAAGCCTTTGAAACTTGCAAAGTAATTTGCAATGCTACTTTGGAGGTAAGAATTGAGTTCTCTCTCTGTTTCCTACTGAGATGAATTTTAATGGATTGAGCAAGAGCTGTACAAATGTCCCACGGTTGTATCTTTGAGGAAGTTTTCATCGTGACTCTGTTTACTACTTATTCTGTCCCCTTTATTTTAACAAATAATGGAAAAAAAATGTATCCCTTTGTTTGTTTGTTTTTAATTGGCAGTAAAATTTTTTCAACTGGCATTGAACTCCAATTGACTCCAATTACAGATTCAAGATTAGTTTTATTTATTTGGACAGCATAATGCAAATCAATCGCTTCTGTTGGTTATTGCTAAATGTTTGCAAAGGGAAAAAAACAACCACCCTTCTCCACAATGCTGTCTATGAGCAAGGTGTTTGCTAAGTAGCACATGATAATAGAGTTGCAAAGGTACTGGAGAGAGCCAGGAAGGCAGGAATGGCCAAAGACTTTTTTAGAGGAGAAGAAAACTGAGTTCAAAAATTAAATACGTACATAGGTGCGTGTGGTATTTAATGTATGTAACATATATATACATATATATGTGTGTGTGTCTGTGTGGAGTGGTGCAGTTGATACACTGGAGGGAAGGGAGGCCATCCAGAGGGACCATTACAGGCTTGAGGAAAGAGCCCATGTGAACCAATTGTGAGGTGCTACACATAGCTAGGTTTGTTCAGTCCCCAGTATCAGTATAAATGGAGTGATGAATTGATTGAGAGCAGCTCTGCAGAGAAATATGGTGGATGAAAAACAGGACACGAGCCAACAGTATCCTTGGCTGCATCAAAAGAGAGATGGCCAGCAGGATAAGGGAGGTCATTGTCCCCCTCTGTGTGTTCCCACAGCACTAGCAGTTTGGATAACAATGATTAGCTACACCTGTAATTCAAAGGGATGCCAGCAAGCATTAACCATATTCAGCTTGGTGTTCAGCCAGTGGATTGAAATTGTAAATTTCAGTCTGATAAAAGGTGTGTGAAAAACTGGAGAACCAAATGATACGCTTTCCTTGTATACAGCCTTCAAAAGGCTATTCAAGAAACAGAGATTTTACATATCTATAATGAGATCACTATTTACCAGGCTGAATGGCACTGCTGATGAAGAGATCACTATGACCTGGTTTTATTACTGGTAAGCTCATCTCAAAATGTTCAGAAGATCTTTTCAGTTCACATAAAGATCAAGATACCTATACACTTAAGCAATCTTTAGTCAATTCTGTTAGCAAACAGAACTACTCATGCTTTTGTAGAAGGATTTTTAAGATGAAGAACTAATGCTTTCCCCAGTTCTTAAGATGAAAATAAATGAATACCATCCCAAGTTTGTGAAGTAACTCCAGGATGGAGTGCTCTGGGGGCGTTGGAAAGAAGTTTGAAAGAAAGGTAATTATGTCTTCAAGTCACTATAAAAGTTCTTGAAATAAACTTTCTAGAGATTCTTTTAAAATGCAAAATTGGTTCCATTTACTCCCTCATTTTTCTTCCAGCACAGCCAAATGCATCTCATGCCTACTTTTTCTTAGTTTTTCATCTTTTTTTTTTAGGCTTTTCTATTCAACAGTTCTTATGAGATACTGTGATTCAGCACTAATAATGCAGTAGTTCAGTGATGCAGCTATAGCTTGAAAGTGTCAGTTTGAATTTCTGCTCTGACCTGTACTTTGCATACAGTCTTGCTGACTGCATCTTTTGGAGAGTTTCTTTTTTGGTTGCTAACAAAGCAGTTGTGTTTACTTGGGTTTGTACATTTTGTTTTTTGGGGGCACATGAGCTGTCAAATGTGTCAGGTAGGTACTTCCCTCTTCCACCAACACTGTGCAGAGTGTCATGGGTCTATCACTGGGAAGTGCTGTATGGCACTGTGAGGAGTCTTTATTCCCAATGTTCTAATAACTTAGGAGAATCTTTAAATTTTTTTTCTTTTTCTCCTCACCTTGCAAGCACATGCACAGAAGTGGCACTGGTGAGTCATCAGGGGGATTTTGCTACTACTAATGCTAATTAATCTGGGAAGCTGAATGACTGATGCTTCAATAATAGTTATTGAAAACCACAAAAAGACATTTTATTCTAGTCAGTGTACATGGACATTAAGACTCTGTTGCAATGGTAACTGTGGTTTTCAGGACTTAGCCTACCTTTTCATTTCTCTGATTAATGTTTTGCATGGACAGTAGTAGAAAATAACTTAGCTATTCTCTGTGCAAAAACTGTGTTGGTCAAACAAAGGAAGATGGTAGAAATGTCTTAATATTGGGCTAGATGTTAGTAGGCACAAAACCTTCACCTTGTGACTGCTGATTGTTGTTTATCTAAGTGGTTAGGAGTATATATAATGCAGAGAAATTCCATTACATGGAGGCAGAAGCGTATAGGAAATTTAAGCACAAAAGCACTTACCAAAATCTCTGCGAATCCCCTATGACTAATGGTGATGAGAAGAGCTCATGTTAACTATTTGCCCTTGCTGGACAGAAAGCTGCTTTGTGAACGTGCGGTACAGGACCAATAAGAACTGTTATGAACTTTTAATAATCTTAATGAGGAGCTATATATTCATGGGGGTGCTGGCAATTTGCTGCTTCTTGTTCATTTTATCTCTTACTTATTCATTTAAGGGAAAAACATTTGGGTGTGCGTACCAAAATGAGTCTCTTTTGTTGAACAAAGAAGCAAAATAAAACAAGTGACAAAACTTTGGTTGTTTTTATTTGCTTCAGAGATAATTGCAGAGGTGCTCATGGTACTCCTTATCATTCACCAGTGACATAAGAAAAATACAGTGTTACAGCTTATTCTCAGAATAAAGTGTAAGATTCCAGAATGTAGAAGTTTCCTCTGGAAGCTCA